ACTAATTTTCTATCATAAGATATAATTATTTTTATCAGTTAAAAAAAGATTTAAAATATTTATATAAATAACTAATTCTGATTTATCTATTGTATAAGTTTTATAATTAGAATTTTTAAAAAATTGAAATATAAACAATAAGATTTTGAATTAAAGAAAGAATATGTTTGTTATCTGATAGAAAAATAAAGATAAGAAATTTAAATTTTGGATTTATTAAAGATACTAAAAATTCAAAATCTTTAAATTTGACTATTGATTTTTTATTAACTTTAAAATAGCATTTCAAATTTGAATAATAAGTTGATTAGTATGTTGTTATGGATTAAATTATAAATAATTAAAAAGACTTTCAATTATAGAATAAAGAATAGATAGTATTGAATAAGTAAAACCACCTAAAAATTAAATAGCTTTTGCAAATGGATAAAGGAGTGAAATTAATTCAGCAAGATATTTTGTTTATCTTCTGTTAAATCTAATTTAGCTAGAATATTTTCATCTTTATGAATTTCTCTATTGTTATCTCCTTGCATGGTTTTATATATTAATTTAATTACTGGTTTAAATATACTGTAATAAGTTTTTTAAGTACTAAATATGTTGAATTCTATTTTATATCAATATCTTGAATAGGCATGAGTATTTCTTTTGTAAGTTGAAGAGCCTTTTGAATTTGTAAAAATTGATTTCAATACCTGTCACAATAAACTAAATAATAATTAAATGCCTTAGATTTTTGGAATAACTTTTGACAAGAAGTAATCTTTAATCTATCAAAAATAGCCAAATGAATAATATGCACACAACAAAGTAAATTAATAATTTCTAATTCATGAAAAGTTTTAATTATTTTTGAATCATTATTACTTATACCAGCAATAATTTTTTCTTGTAAATTGATATTTCAATAATTAAATATATATTGTGATTTAATAGTTATATTAATATCACTATAATTATATGACATTTCTTCAATTATAAGCAAAGTTTATTAAAGTTTGAAATTAGAAGCTATCCAATAAATAGTTACAGTATATCAATATATGAGTTGTGAAATCCAATCCATAAATCAGTTGTAAAATTAATTTTTGTTGTTATTGTATTTTAAGTAAGTTAATTAGAATCTCACAGAAAAATTTCATACTTTGTACAATTAAAATCTTAATTGTATTATTACAAGATATTTGATAACTAGGGCATATTTAATTACAAAATACATTAATTTTTTCATTTTTTAATATAGTAAATGGTTGTAAATTATCAATTAGATATTCCAGAAGACAAAAATTTGATAATTTTTGTTCATGTCTTGATAATTGTTTAATTTCAGTATTCTCAATAGTTTGTTCTATGATTTTTTAAATAGTTAATGTATATTTTGCTATAATATGTATACAAGCAAGATGATAAGCATAAAAAATAATAGACATATTTAAAAAAAAACTTGGTTCACATTTTATAATTTTGCATTTTCTGATCTATTGATTTTCATTTCTATCAAATTATTTCCATATTCAACTTATATCTTTTTTAGAATTTTTTTGTTTTTTTTTAATTAATATTGATGATATATTATTTTTATTGAAATTATTTTCACAGATTTCAAGTCATTTGTTGAAAAATTCAGTATAAATTGAAAAAGAAAAGGAGGATAGTATTTGAACTAAAGGAAAGATTATTTCTATATATTATGCTTCAAAAGATTTGATATATAAATTATATAAATGAAAATTTAAATAGTTTGTAAATAAAGGTATTTCTTTATTTTGATTTTTTATTTTGTTGTTTTTTGAAAGCAAACAATTCAAATTCTTAACATTATTATAATATTAACTAATATTGTTAATAAATTATTATTATTATATTATATTAATTAAAATAATTAATATTATATTGTCATATATTGTTAATATATAAACAAATTAGGAATAGTTATTATATTTAATTAACTGCAACTAATTAATTAACTAACATATAATTAATTAGTTAATAGTTAATTAGTTAGAATTACTATATAGATATCAATATAATTAAGTATTTTTGATTTCTGATTTTTCAGAAATTTTTAGTTTAAAGTTTTTACATAGCATATATACTATATATAAACAATTATTTTTGAAGGTGAATAGAAATTTTTTGGATATTATAATTGTGTATCTTAAAATTACAGTATATACATATTGTTTAAAAAATAGAGACTAAAAAAGCACATCTATTATTTTTATTACCTTCAAAAAGAATTATCAATATGTATATATATCTTGCATAAAAAATAACAAATACAAAATCTAAAATAGATTTATTAAAAATATTAAATTCAAAGCTCTTAGCTAAGATTTCTGAACTTAGAAAGAAGAATTTCAAGATTTACAAACTTGAAAAGAAATTTGCTGAAATTAAATCTAAAAATGCAAAGCTAAAGCTGGTGTGATGTTAGAATCAAAAAATTAGAACAAAGAATAAAAGGCTTCAATAATAAAACAGAGTTTTGTAACAGTGGATAGACAACTACAGAATGACTTATAGAGTGAAAATACTAATAGAATATTGTTTGGAATTTGAATTTGATATGAGGATAAAGAACTTTGATATATATATATGAATAATAAAATTTGTTATATGTTTAAATTTTTGGGACATGTTATTTTTTTAGTTTCTTTTGTAATTTTGATACAGTTGAAAATGATGATGCTATATTCAGATAGCCAGATTTCTAATATTATAATTGATACTTTTTTGAGTTGAAAGAATAATAATTTTATTTTATTTTAAGTTTCTATTGGAAGATAAGTTGTTTATAATAATAGGTTTTGTTTTTGAAAGACTTGATTTAATGTTATTAAATATAAAAAAATTTAAAAATATGTTTAAAAGATTAAAATTCTCTATATATGTAATTGTGTTGGCTAGAAGTTGAAATTTCTGTTATGTTTCTTCAAACTTTTCAACGCACGCATACTTCACATGGCTTAAAAATTATCAATAAATCCAACAAAGAAATCAAGAAACTATGCAACAATAATTATAGCAACCTTATTGCATTCAGAATCAAGTTATTATCAGGAATCCTACCTACTCACCAAAAATTACACCAGTTATATTCTAGCCAATATTGGGACACTCTATGTCCAAGATGCGAACTCTGCACTGAAGATATAAAACATGTCTTCAAATGTCCTGAGACCTTCAAAGAAGCTGACCAAATTATCATGATCATTAACCAAATACTCCAACCAGACAATAACCAATCTCTAATTTCAAACATATGGCAAGTTGTTAAATTGTCATGTGACATTACAGACAAGATATTCTCAGTTTTCAATTTTTCTAACTGGGTTGAGACAGCATTAGAAGCCTTGACTCAGCTGTATAATCTAATCTGGAAACCTCGTTGCTTGACAGCCAATACCTCACCAATTACAGGAATTAAGTGGAACCCTAATAACAAATCCTCTACTTCATCTTACTCCGTCAGAATTACCAACACTCACAACCCAATAGACAAAATCTCATCTACCAACACTTCCTTTCAAGAAACTATGGTTGATCTACCTACTATAGTCACTAACTCCTTTATTCATTGTAAATATAATTATATCAAGTATATCCAAAATTTAATTTCATCATTGACTAATTCCTCCCCCCTAATACTGAGTAAATAACCATAGCCGCTTGGTGCTGCTTGGCAAGATATATTGTTTTAAATTTTCTTTTCAATATTAGTTAAGTAGTTGCTGTAGGCAAGCTAGCATTTAACTTATCGCAATAGCATATGAGAGATGTTGTTTCTTTAACAATATATACCTTGACATATACAAATCAAATAAAGAAATGAAGTATATCTACTAAAAAAAAAAAAAGAAATTTCTGTTATGTGAAAATAAAAATAAAAGATCATAGAAAATAATTTATTAAAGAGAAAAGTATAGCTCTTCTTAATTAATTTCATCAGAAATAATAATTTGTTGTTTAATAATATTTGACAAGTATAATTTTCAAAGATATAAAATGGATTAATGAAAAAGTCAGAATATAAAACCTTTGTATAACTTTTTTAAGTATATTTAAATTAATAGAATTATAAGCTATACTAATATTGAGTATAGGGACTGAACCAAGTACTAAAATAGTATAGACTTAATACCAACTTATAATAAATATAATATATGGATTGTAACTTACTATATTAAATTCATAGTAAATCCAATACTGTCTTGGTACCAAAATGATACTGTTAGGAATCCTAAGTGAGTAAAATATTTCAGAATTTTTCTTAAAAAGTTTTTTGATATTGTATAAAGTTTAAAATTTGAATTGGTTCAAATATATTTTTGTTTAAAAGATCTGCAAAATTGGTTCTTGAAGAACTTTGTTTTTTGTAGAATTTTATTAAATTTTTAAGTAGATATTTTAATTAAAATTTGCAGAAAAAGTTTATTAATATTGTCATGGGTAAAAAAAGTGGGGTACAATGACACGGTACGTGTTGTGTCGCGTAAATGGTATGTTTATGGTAGAATCGGTGGGAAAGTAGTGGTGGGAAAATTAGAGTAGAATGCCTTATGTAATCGTGTGGCGCAAAGCGATTAGCATGTAAACAATACTAGCATGTAAACAAACTAGCATGTATAAATATGACCATCGAATGAGCGAAATAAAGCCAAGCAGACTTTAGGTAGCATTTACTGAAAAATCTGACTTGAAGCATTTAAACTCTTATTTGTGTTTACTATTTCTATCGATTGTTTTCACGCCCATACCTTGCTCACGTGACTATACAAACCAGAGTTCGGCTAGAAAGATTGGGAAAGTTCTAGCAACTCCAAGAGTTCCAGTATAGGACGTTTGGTGTAAAGTTAGGAAGCGAAACCAGATCGGTCAAATCGTGACACGCCTCAAGAGTTTAAACCCACGTTACGCGAAGTTTACCTATCTTTGGCGACAGACTCGCCGGTTAGCCCACGACAATATAATAGAGTATATATCTTGGATATTGTCTATTCCTGCAAGTTCAGTTCCAGCTGAAAGGCTTTTTTTCTAATGCAGGTGAAATTCTTACTGAAAAACGAAATCATTTAGATCCAACTACAGTTTCTGATCTTGTATTCTTAAACAGAATTCAAATATTTTTACTATCGTTCCTAAGTAAAAGAATTTTCATATTACTATTCGTATATGTATAAAAATTTTATATATACTGTGTATATATGCGTATATATAGAATTAACCAATAAAAAATTAGAAAACTATTACTAAATTGAGACAGTTAACTACGGTTAGCTATATAATAAATATAATCAGTTAGCGAACCGGTTAGAATCGCTATGTCCATACAATACAATAAAATCCCTAAATACACATGCAAAAGCAAACGCAATTATGTATACAAATGTAGTCCATAATGGCCCGTGATTGAGAATTGATTTATTTACATTTGAGAATATTTTTTTAAGCAATGATATATTTACATGAAAACCTATTATTTTGATGCAGCTCGCGATGAACTATTTATATAGCTACGAGATAATAATATAGATGCTTCGTGCACTCATCCAATAAGACTATATACACCATATTATCAGTGAAGCTGTGCATTCATGCATTGTGGACTCATTATTGTAAAGGTAAAATCGGTGAAAACTAAATCAAATGTAAATATGCAGTTATATTGAAACAATACTAGATTAAATTCCAACATAAGAGAAGTCTTACACGTTAATTAGGCATTTAAAATAGCCCACCGAACAGAAAAGAGATCGAGGGTAATAGGGTCAGGTAGAGGTGGTGTGGGAATTACAAAGCTGTTTGGCATTCCATGGTAAATGCATCCCAGCTGAATATTAATAACGCATTGCCCAGGTAGAATATCGATTGGATTTCCTTGACGGTTAATCGTTCCAAATTCATACTAAATAGAAAATCCGTAAAACTCATTCAGTACTAAAAAAAAGCATGTAATAATATTATATACCATTACAGGGTTTAATGCTCCGATAGCTGTTCGGTTATTTATGCAATAATGCCAAGCCTATTAAAGAATAAAAATCATACCAATGCAACTGCGTAGAAATTAAAGCCTGTTGCCATTACTTACTGTCATCTCTGTTGGAATCGTGTCATCTGATGTGTATCCTAGCTTAATAGCGATTGCATCGTGAACTCTATTAGGAAGGAGCCAGTAATTCTCGATTTTATCCTTAAGATGTGCCTCGGTTTCAGAGAAAGCAACATCTATTACAATATTCGGCCAGGGTTTATTCTAAAAGTACATTCAATATATCGTCACAAATATTAGAAAATTAACACAATTACATCGTCAAATAAACAGTGCTAAAAATTCTTCATACCCTTCCATCAGATCCGCCTCCATGTACTTGAGGTTTTCCTACAGGTTTAAGAGACCCATCTGCCTCCCTGCCTCTTCCACGTGTTTTTGTTGCTTTTAGTCAAAGACAATGATTAATGCAAAAATACTCATAATACGATGGCATGAAGAAACTAGTAAAACACTCACTCATCGCTCCACAAAACTTAATGCCTACAAGAGTATTCTTTACGGATTGAAGCGCGCTATACAATTCTCCGTTAATTGTACCAATGCAAACCTCGTGAAATGGCGAAGGAAGTTCAATAACTCGAACAGTTCCATTTTCCCATTCCCATAGGGCATGCACATTATGCATATCTGTTCGTTTAATATATTCGTCTAAGGTGACATCAGTTTTTAGCACGTATGGCAAGCTTCAAAATAAATATCAGTTGATATCAGACACTAGTTTACAAAAATATCATTCGCCAAAGCAAATGGGAAAGAGACTTACTTAGCTTCTTCCCACCTGGCCTTTGGGTGTATGTTACCAGTTTTCCACCAAAAATAACGATATTTTTTTATTTCATCAGTCTCCTCGAGACTAAAAATAGAAGTATAAGAAATTATGGCAGTCTCCTGAGTCATACTTCTCCGTGGAATAATAGAATTCGTATGGTATTATTCCCATATAAAGTTGTCCAAATTTCGAGACCATGTTACTCAGTCACGGTCAAGTTACATCACTATCACGTGACGCAACATTTTAATGCTACATATTTGATATTTTCAAAACTAAATTTAAAATCGATGGTGCAGTAAACGTTTTTATTCATTGGATATATGACACCCTTAAAATTTTATCTCCATTAATACAAAAAAAAGATTATAGATTTTCCAATTCTTTGTTTTCTTTCGAAGTGCATTCTTAGAAACTTTTTTTTTGAAATTGATCTCGAAACCTTACCATTAATCTTCTTTTGGATCTTATGTTTTTCCATAGATTTTTTATAGTCAATAAGGTGTTTCTTCAGCTAATCTCAAGGAAATAATATGATTTTAAAATTTTATAACATGTATTATTACTATTTTCTTCAATTTGAATATTTTTAAATATAGATTGAAAAAAATTTAAAAACTATTAATTTATCTTACAAATTCTTTGTAAAGATCTTTTTTCTTTTAATTTCAGAAATTCAAGGAATATCAGGCTAGAATTTCTAATAATGTTATTTTGATATTAATTTAATACTAATTTATTATAGATTGGTACTATTTTGATACCACTTTGGTACCATTTTTGAAATTGTAAATTTAATAATAATTTCTAAATAAGCTTTATTAATGTAATTAAGTTCTTATTCTTAATTATTTTTTAATCCTTTTATTAAATAATTTTTAGTTAATTCATAAATAGTTTTATTAATCTGTTTAGATTTATTTTTTCTTTTATTTTTTCTCATTTTCATCTTTTTATTACATATACATATTTTGCTTTTGTAATGAAGTCTTTTTATTTTTATTTTTATTTTAATTCTAGAAAAAATTCTTAACAAATTAATCTCAATGTTATAAATAAATTTATTAACTAGAGTAAAAGTATAGTTATAGTTTATATGGATTTTAATTATATTATTTAATTTGAACTATAACTATATAAATTCAGACTATAGATATATTTCATAATATTTAGACTATAATTATTTCAAAATAATATTAAAAAAATAAATAAAACTATATATTTTAAAGTAGTTATAGTTTATTTATTATTAGGTATAATTAGAAACTTAAGTTGATAACATACTTTATATTAATAATTTATTGATTTTTATTGACTTCAATATTTTATTGAATTACACTACATGGACAAAAGTATAATACATCTTAAATTTATTATTATATAAAAATGTACATAATAACTTTATTTAAAATTTTAATATGTTATTGTTTATATTT